CCCGGCCCCGCCGCCGCCCTGACCCCGCCGCCTCTGCAGGTCTCCCGCATGGTGCACGCCATTAAGATGGGCTGGATCCAGCCTCGCCGTCCTCGGGACTCCACCCCCAGCTTCTACGCGCTGTGGGCCCAAGAGGACCCCAACGCGGTGCTGGGCCGCCACAAAATGCACGTGCCTGCACCCAAGCTGGCCCTGCCGGGCCATGCCGAGTCCTACAACCCACCTCCCGAGTACCTGCCCAGCGAGGAGGAGGTGAGCCTGGTGCAGGCCGGGGTCCGCCCGCCCCCGCCCGCCCCGCGCTCCGGGCTCACTCCTGCCTTCACAGCGCGTGGCCTGGGAGCAGCGGGAGCCCGACGAGAGGAGGCTCAACTTCCTGCCGCGCCGGTTCCCGAGCCTGCGGGCTGTGCCCGCGTACGGCCGCTTCATCCAGGAGCGCTTCGAGCGCTGCCTTGACCTCTACCTGTGCCCACGGCAGCGCAAGATGAGGGTGTGCGGCGGGGGGCCTCCCGGGCGGGGGCGGGGAGTGGGGGGGGGGATATAGCTGACCCCACGTGCTCCTCTCCCAGGTGAACGTGGACCCTGAGGACCTCATCCCCAGACTGCCACGGCCACGCGACCTGCAGCCTTTCCCCACGTGCCAGGCCCTGGTGAGCAGACAGGGCAGGGCGGCCGGGAGCGCACAGTTCCGGGGCTCCGTCCCTCACCGCCCCTTCTCTGCAGGTCTACCGGGGCCACAGCGACCTCGTCCGCTGCCTCAGTGTCTCCCCGGGTGGCCAGTGGCTGGCATCAGGTGGGCCTCGGGTGGGGCAGTCCTGCCATGGGGGCTGGGCTGGGGGCCGGGTGCTGAGAGCCCATCCGCTGTGCTCAGGCTCAGACGATGGCTCGGTGCGGCTCTGGGAGGTGGCTTCCGCCCGCTGCGTGAGGACTGTGCCCGTGGGGGGCGTGGTGAAGAGTGTCGCCTGGAACCCCCGCCCGACTGTCTGCCTGGTGGCCGTGGCAGTGTGAGTATGAGGCTGGGGGTGACCGCGCCGGCGGGGGTGGTCCTGTGCCCGGGGGCCTTCACTGGGCTCTGGCCGCAGGGAGGATGCAGTCCTG